GGCTTTTGTGGTCTGGAGGTACGGAGTTCGATTCTCAGAGACCCAGCAGGTGAGGCGGCTTTTGTGGTCTAGAGGTACGGAGTTCGATTGTCAGAAGAAGATCTAACAGGTAAGGGGCTGTTGTGATCTAGTGGTATTAGGTTCGCTTTTAAAAGACTTCAAAGACTCAGTGGGCTATTGGCTCTTGTGGTCTAGAGGTACGGAGTTTGTTTCTCTCCTTTTCATACGGGGCGTAAAAACACCTACATCCTTTTTTCTTTCTCAGATTGAAGAGCGAGACAGAGAGATCCACACCCTGCGGACGGACGTGGACTCGCTGGGTTCGCGGTTCAAGTCCCTGGACCTGCAGAAGAGCGTGGAGCTCGGCCAGCAGTTGCAGAAGTGGGAGGAGTTTGCCCACCTGGCTGAGAGCATGAAGAACTTGTCGCAGACCATGATCTCACAGGCCTCCACCAGCGCCCGCTCCCCGCGCCACGCCCCGCAGCAGTACTAGCGACACACGCGTGGTTCGGTCCGTCCGTTGTGTTAACTCAGTCCCACCTCAGGTCGTCTTGTTGTTCTAAAAATACCCCCCCCCCCCCCCCACACACACACACACATACACACACACACACACACACACACGCACACACACACACACATCGAAAGAAAGAACATTTTCACAGAGGTTATACATTTTTTAAAACTTGGCGCTACAAACAATCAGACATACTATAAAATATGAAATATATTGCAGCAAATAAGTATTAAATCTAAAAGCATCCCTGGTTTCTAGTCCTAGCTCTATTTTGTTTGTTAGTCAAGGATGGTCCACTGATCAGTTCTGACTCTATCTTCTTCGTTGTCAGTATCTGACACGACATAAAAATCTGGATCTAAATCCTCTTCTTTGTCAGTGTCTGACTCAACATTTAAAAAATCTGTATCTAAATTCTCTTCATCGTCCACTTACTCATTCAGACCAGGCGAGGCATTTGCTTCTCATAGATTCCATCCACTCCTTTGTTATAATGAATCCTGTATAGAGATATACATAAATAGCTATCATAGAAAAGATCTATACTATCTAGATTCAAGTAAGCTCAATTTAGAGAAAAAGAAATTCAAGCAACCGTCGGAAACATTAGTGGCTTGACAGACAGAGAAACTAGAAATATCACGAGAAACTAGAAACGAAAAGGGATGCTGATAATGATAATGTAATGAGATTTCATCTAAAATAGTAAGTTGTGGAAACACGCAGATAGCACGCTGGTACTGCAAGCGAAGCAACTCGACGATAATGTGGGATTTTGGGACTCGGTCAGGTGTGGGCAACAGTTCACGACCTCAGTGCTTTCTTGTCGTATCTCCATTTTTTTTTTTTTACATTGAGAATGTGACTTCTTTTTAAGCTCACTCTTTGTTATGAACTGTTTTCACTGTTTTAAAAAAAATGGAGATACGACAAGAAAGCACTGAAGTCGTGAGTTGATGATGAGAGATGTTGGTGGGAGTGAGTTAAATAACATATTAAGCCGTCCCATATGAGTTAAATAACATATTAAGCTGTCTCATATGAGTTAAATAACATATTAAGGCGTCTCATATGAGTTAAATAACATATTAAGCCGTCCCTTTCCTAGCTAGAAATTTCTAAACTCCTTACATTATACCCACACTTGTATTTTCTTCACTGTATTTACTTAGTTTTTTCCCTCTGATTCTGTAAGATTATATACAGCGCTATACAGCGTAGACAAAAATTACTGTGATAACAATAGAATTTTGTAGAAGTAAATATTTTTCAATTTGATATTCCTTTCTTGTTACATTTTCAATTGTCACTACCAAAAGAGTTTATTGTATATATATATATATATATATTTGTGTTATGACATGGTGGAACCAGGCGCATATCAATTTTTGGACTATTTAGTTACTGGTATCATCTTAAAGCCTGTTGATGTGTCCTGCTTTTGATTTAAAAAATACCCATTATTATATCTTAAATAGACGTCCAGATATTTCCGATTGAAGGTTTCATACATCAAGAAATGAAGTTTGGTCATTTCTGATAGTCAATCACGATCTGTTTACAGGGGATTCAGTTAACACCATTCATCCCAGTGAGCAAATTTCATTGCTGAATTACTTCCCTTTTTATATGCCTGTGAGTCCGTCTCTTATTGCCAATACATTCAGAACGAACGTTATCTCCCCTTGTCGTCGCGACGATCACTAAAATGTCTGTCTCCCTCGTGTCAAAGAGAAACCTGTAAATATGTATACAATGAGTGTATTTCGAGCTATCCAACAGTGCACCTTTGCTTTTCGTTCCATGAAGTTTGTGGCGTCGGTGGCCTAGTGGTTAGGCTCTCGGACTCGCAACCGTAAGGTCGTGGGTTCAAATCCCGTCAGGGACCCGACGTTGTGTCCTTGGGAAAGGCACTTTACACAAATTTTCCTCACTTCACCCAGGTGGGAATGAGTACCTGGCTATAGAGAGCGAAGGATCTTGTCAGTTTGTTAGTTTTTGAGCGCTAAATCAGCTGCTTGCACTGTATGCTTCCCGGGAAGCTGAGAATGTTTCGGAGTGTTCTGTGGTCTGCTGGGGTAATAATATAGTGTAAAGCGCATAGAGCCTGCTGTTGAGCAGGGATATGCGCTATACAAATGCTATTTATAATTATTATTTAAGTCAAGTGTGACCTAAATGTCCATTGCAAAATGTGGCTCCTACAGCTTGTTGTCAATGTCACAGACAATTGGTCGCTTTTCAGCACAAGGGGGGCTATGCTATCCCGACTAATGCTGTTTTGAGAAAATCGAAGGTAAAGTTTTTGCCCCTTGTTTAAAAGACAAGGAGAGTTTTCTCTTTAACCAAACAAATATACACACCAACGAAACCAAACTTCTCCTATAGGTTGGGCAATGCCCATTTTTGGTGTAGGTCAAGATTTCTGGAAACCTCTGAAATCTGGGTTAGCCCGCTTGTCCTTAAAAGCGACCGTTTACTCCAGAGTGTTTGTCATCAATCTTTGTACACCTGTCTGTTACATGTTTACATTTCAGTTTTCAGAAGAAAGGAAGGAAAAATGTGGGGATGGCAGCTTGCACTGTATGCTTCCCAAGAAGTTGAGATTGTTTTAGAGTGCTATCATGAGGTCTGCTTAGGTAATAATGTAGATTGCAAAGCACATAGAGCCAGCTGTTGAGTGCGAGTTTTTCGCTATTTGTGGGTGGTCGGCGGGTGCTCTGGCGTAGTTCCTTCATTTTTGTGTATGTTACTCTCTTGTAACACATCTATTCTTCCGCACCTATATGACCTTATTGTGTTGCAAGTGCCGTAAAACCCTTACTGAAACTAAACTTAAAAAACAAATGACTTGCACTAGACCTATACATAATACCCACAAATGCTTTCTATTATTATGATGAATATCTTGAATCAGTTTCCCTATATGTGATAATCTTATGTGAGTTTTTGTTTTATCTTTGCACAACATAAGCGAACACTGCACACATCAGTTTGCATTCCAATAGAATTTCCAAATGTACCGAAGAATTGCTCTAGCTGACAAATATAAACTGTGCCCTAGTTGTCCCGCAACTCGCAGAATTGTATCTCCTTCATTAGTTTCCATTTTACCGTTGTTCTTTTCTTATCTGTTTGTGTGAAAAGTATTATTTTTATGTACCTTAAATTTTTTTTCAATACATTGTGAAAGTATGATACTGTGACGTCCCATTTGCTATGACGTTTTTTTGTCATTCACATTTGGAAGATTGTGACACAAGTATTCATATGTTATACACACACACCTTTATTTATTTGAGTGCAAAAGACAGTATTTCAATCCGTGCCACCATTTCAGTTAATTGTGATAATCTGGAAAATCTTGTGGTTTTAAATCTTCAGGATTTTAAATACACGTGTCAGTTCATGTCATTTCAGAATGAAAATCAGTGTTCTGTGTGGATAGAATTCTATTTAGGAATCTGAAATGTCCAAATCTCGCAGGTCTTATATAGTCTTTTTCTATTTATGGAAAGCTTTCACATTTCATGCGTGTTAAAGGTCAGTGGGTGGTTGGCGGGTGCTCTGGTGTGGTTTGCTTCTTGTTTCTTATGAAACATCTATCTTCCTTATCTCCCCTTTTGCTTTTTTATGTTTGTCACTCTCTTGTAACACCTCTAATCTTCGGCACTTCTATGACCTTATTGTGTTGCAAGTGCGGTAAATCTCTGACTAAAACGAAACTGTCAAAGGTCATGTTTTGTCTAGAACATTATTGGGCATTGTGACCCTTGCCCAGGAATGAGAATTTTATCATAAATAATCATAATAAATTACTCTTTTATTGGTCCCAGAAGGCACTTTGTTTTACAATGGCAAACATACATACATAAATACATAATTATAAATACGTACATACATAAATACATACATGCATAGATTCTAAATACATACATGCCACTGTGCAGCGCCCTGTATTTTGAGCTAGGGTTGTCGTGTCTTGCCCATGGACACACACCAGTGACCACCCATCTGATCCCAGTGTCACCGACACTTGCTTGACACGGCTTGAGTCTAAACTCACTACTCACTTAGCCACTGGTCTCTTGAAGTTTTTTTGTTTTATTGTCCTGTGCATATTTTGAACTTAGATTCTGTGTAATTCATCTGTCAATGAGTGTACCTTTGACCTTTGTTCTACATGCTATGATAGATACTTTGTGTTTGATGCAACAACATCTGTTTATTTGAAATGATAATGCTTGCCAAGCAGATTGTGTGTATTCCTAGCTCCTGCGTGTTTGTGCATATCCAACTAGGAAGTTTTAGGAAACGTTGAGATTTATTTATAGTATAGAGATACTTGTTTATGTAGGCCTACTGACTACTTTAGTATTTCCAGTCTTTCGAAGAATGGTCTTAAGCGTAATTCTCATTTTATTTGAGTAAGATGTATGTGTGTGACTTAAATATTCATATCCAAAAACAAATTGAAGAACTCTTTTATTTATATATATACAAGTCTTATTCAGCTTCTAACAGCTC